CAAAACCCAAGAAAGTCCACTTTAAAATCTTTTATAGGCGTTTAGACTCTAAGGAATTACTTAGACTTTGATAGGTTTAATGTCCCGCTGGTTTAATGTCCCGCTGGTTTAATGTCCCGCTGGTTTAATGTCCCGCTGGTTTAATGTCCCGCTGGTTTAATGTCGCGCTGGTTTAATGTCGCGCTGGTTTAATGTCGCGCTGGTTTAATGTCGCGCTGGTTTAATGTCGCGCTGGTTTAATGTCGCGCTGGTTTAATGTCGCGCTGGTTTAATGTCGCGCTGGTTTAATGTCCCGCTGGTTTAATGTCGCGCTGGTTTAATGTCGCGCTGGTTTAATGTCGCGCTGGTTTAACGTCCCTCTGGTTTAATGTCGCGCTGGTTTAATGTCGCGCTGGTTTAATGTCGCGCTGGTTTAATGTCGCGTTGGTTTAATGTCCCGCTGGTTTAACGTCCCGCTGGTTTAACGTCCCGCTGGTTTAACGTCGCGCTGGTTTAACGTCCCGCTGGTTTAACGTCCCGCTGGTTTAACGTCCCGCTGGTTTAACGTCCCGCTGGTTTAACGTCCCGCTGGTTTAACGTCCCGCTGGTTTAACGTCACGCTGGTTTAACGTCACGCTGGTTTAATGTCGCGTTGGTTTAATGTCCCGCTGGTTTAATGTCCCGCTGGTTTAATGTCCCGCTGGTTTAATGTCCCGCTGGTTTAATGTCGCGCTGGTTTAATGTCCCGCTGGTTTAATGTCCCGCTGGTTTAACGTCCCGCTGGTTTAATGTCCCGCTGGTTTAATGTCCCGCTGGTTTAACGTCCCGCTGGTTTAACGTCCCGCTGGTTTAACGTCCCGCTGGTTTAACGTCGCGCTGGTTTAACGTCCCGCTGGTTTAACGTCCCGCTGGTTTAACGTCCCGCTGGTTTAACGTCCCGCTGGTTTAACGTCCCGCTGGTTTAACGTCCCGCTGGTTTAACGTCCCGCTGGTTTAACGTCCCGCTGGTTTAACGTCCCGCTGGTTTAACGTCCCGCTGGTTTAACGTCCCGCTGGTTTAACGTCCCGCTGGTTTAACGTCCAGCTGGTTTAACGTCCCTCTGGTTTAATGTCCAGCTGGTTTAACGTCCCTCTGGTTTAATGTCCAGCTGGTTTAATGTCCCTCTGGTTTAATGTCCCTCTGGTTTAATGTCCAGCTGGTTTAATGTCCAGCTGGTTTAATGTCCAGCTGGTTTAATGTCCAGCTGGTTTAATGTCCCGCTGGTTTAATGTCCAGCTGGTTTAATGTCCAGCTGGTTTAATGTCCAGCTGGTTTAATGTCCAGCTGGTTTAATGTCCAGCTGGTTTAATGTCCAGCTGGTTTAATGTCCAGCTGGTTTAATGTCCAGCTGGTTTAATGTCCAGCTGGTTTAATGTCCAGCTGGTTTAATGTCCAGCTGGTTTAAAGTCCCGCTGGTTTAATGTCGCGCTGCTTTAATGTCGCGCTGCTTTAATGTCGCGCTGCTTTAATGTCGCGCTGGTTTAATGTCCCGCTGCTTTAATGTCGCGCTGGTTTAATGTCGCGCTGGTTTAACGTCCCGCTGGTTTAACGTCCCGCTGGTTTAACGTCCAGCTGGTTTAACGTCCAGCTGGTTTAAAGTCCAGCTGGTTTAACGTCCCGCTGGTTTAACGTCCCTCTGGTTTAACGTCCCTCTGGTTTAACGTCCCTCTGGTTTAACGTCCCTCTGGTTTAACGTCCCTCTGGTTTAATGTCCCTCTGGTTTAATGTCCCGCTGGTTTAATGTCCCGCTGGTTTAATGTCCAGCTGGTTTAATGTCCAGCTGGTTTAATGTCCAGCTGGTTTAATGTCCCGCTGGTTTAAAGTCCCGCTGGTTTAATGTCGCGCTGGTTTAATGTCGCGCTGGTTTAATGTCGCGCTGGTTTAATGTCGCGCTGGTTTAATGTCGCGCTGGTTTAATGTCGCGCTGGTTTAATGTCGCGCTGGTTTAATGTCGCGCTGGTTTAATGTCCCGCTGGTTTAATGTCCCTCTGGTTTAATGTCCCGCTGGTTTAATGTCCCGCTGGTTTAATGTCCCGCTGGTTTAATGTCGCGCTGGTTTAATGTCGCGCTGGTTTAATGTCGCGCTGGTTTAATGTCGCGCTGGTTTAATGTCGCGCTGGTTTAATGTCGCGCTGGTTTAATGTCCCTCTGGTTTAATGTCGCGCTGGTTTAATGTCGCGCTGGTTTAATGTCGCGCTGGTTTAATGTCGCGCTGGTTTAATGTCGCGCTGGTTTAATGTCGCGCTGGTTTAATGTCGCGCTGGTTTAATGTCGCGCTGGTTTAATGTCGCGCTGGTTTAAAGTCGCGCTGGTTTAAAGTCGCGCTGGTTTAAAGTCGCGCTGGTTTAAAGTCGCGCTGGTTTAAAGTCCAGCTGGTTTAATGTCGCGCTGGTTTAATGTCGCTCTGGTTTAATGTCGCGCTGGTTTAATGTCGCGCTGGTTTAATGTCGCGCTGGTTTAACGTCGCGCTGGTTTAACGTCCAGCTGGTTTAATGTCGCGCTGGTTTAATGTCGCGCTGGTTTAATGTCGCGCTGGTTTAATGTCGCGCTGGTTTAATGTCGCGCTGGTTTAATGTCGCGCTGGTTTAATGTCGCGCTGGTTTAATGTCGCGCTGGTTTAATGTCGCGCTGGTTTAATGTCGCGCTGGTTTAATGTCGCGCTGGTTTAATGTCGCGCTGGTTTAATGTCGCGCTGGTTTAATGTCGCGCTGGTTTAATGTCGCGCTGGTTTAATGTCGCGCTGGTTTAAAGTCGCGCTGGTTTAAAGTCGCGCTGGTTTAAAGTCGCGCTGGTTTAAAGTCGCGCTGGTTTAATGTCGCGCTGGTTTAATGTCCCTCTGGTTTAATGTCGCGCTGGTTTAATGTCGCGCTGGTTTAATGTCGCGCTGGTTTAACGTCCAGCTGGTTTAATGTCGCGCTGGTTTAATGTCGCGCTGGTTTAATGTCGCGCTGGTTTAATGTCGCGCTGGTTTAATGTCGCGCTGGTTTAATGTCGCGCTGGTTTAATGTCCCTCTGGTTTAATGTCGCGCTGGTTTAATGTCGCGCTGGTTTAATGTCCCTCTGGTTTAATGTCCCTCTGGTTTAATGTCGCGCTGGTTTAATGTCGCGCTGGTTTAATGTCGCGCTGGTTTAACGTCCAGCTGGTTTAACGTCGCGCTGGTTTAATGTCGCGCTGGTTTAATGTCGCGCTGGTTTAATGTCGCGCTGGTTTAATGTCGCGCTGGTTTAATGTCGCGCTGGTTTAATGTCGCGCTGGTTTAATGTCCTAATAATGTCCCGGTAGTTTAATGATCCGTTAGTTTAAACCTGCATTAAAATCATATTTCTATTTCTAAACTGTTTCTTCTATTAATGCCAGAGGATCAGTTCAATAACTCAGACATTGATTTCTAAATTATCCTTAAGGCCTCCATTAACTAACTTTTTATTATTAATTGGCTATTGAATGTTATCATTTAGCACTAGTATCGATATGTTTATGATTATATCGTTATAGACTGAAAAAGATGTTTCCCATCCAGATCTTCAGATTTAAATCAGTGAATTATGAACTGATTCTATTCTAGGGGTATAAATCACACCTATCATGGCGATTCCATTCAGTATCAATTTCATGACCCAACGATTCAATTATATTCGATACTCAAGAATACACCACGATACGATTCGATTTTTTTATTAATTGGTTCTTTTTCTCTTTCTTTTTTTTTTTAACAGGCTAGACAATGTTTCAAATTTGAAATATATCAATGAAAGCTGTAACATCATTATGCATTTTTTATGAGAAACAACAGCAAATAACAGAAGTAGAAAAGTTGTACTCCACCTATTCCTATTAAAACCTCATTCACTGAAAAATAATAATCCCCCTGCGTTATAGATTCTGAAAGGCTTTGCATGAAAAAATACTGCACTAAATCAGTGCAATGAGTGCAATGCAATACCTCGGCTCCAGACTTCCCGCCCCCTCCAGAGACGCTCCGATGCTCCTCTCCCAAATTGTAGCTGACAGCAGACAGGAGGCCGGCTTGTTTGGTTTTTATGACCGAAATTGCGGAAAACAACTCGTGAAGTTTGACCCGCTAGAAGAGCGAGGTGCGCAAGAACGCTGGGACCCCTTTTTCCACCTGGATCTCCGCTCTTTTTGGCCCTCATGTCTCTCCGTCGTCGGACTAAACTCGCCCCCACTTCCTCACCGCCTCGGCCGTATCTAGACCCACAGCGTGTAGCACAGACCACGCTTCAATATTGAGCATAAATCAAAAATGTCTGCATCAAGCTCACTGCAACACACTGTTGTAAGAGTATAACCAGGAAGCGAGGTAGGAGGGCAAAATAGGTTTAGCGCCACTGCAGCACAGGAGGGAGAATTACGCCCAGGAGCAAATGGATAAAAATAGACCGGAGGAAAAATGTTAAAAAAATTGACACTCTTGCGGACGTATCGATGCATCGGATCGTTGGCTGTTGGATCGATGCATCGATACTAAGCGATTATTATTTACACCCCTATTCTATTCTGGACATCCTGATTCGATACCAATATGAGAAACTGCTCCATTATCAGTCAGAAACTGGAGAAGCTCCCAGAGAGCGCAGACCTCCACCTCAGCTTCATACCTGATTTCACAGAATCTTTCCTGGATCCAGAAGGTGATCTGGATCATCACCAGAAATAGGGTAAACGCAAAGCTGACGTCAAGCGTATAGACTATGGGTATGCTGGTCTGACAGGGTATGCCGGTCTGACAGAACGCCGGCTCCCCACTAAAGCCACTGATGGTGACCGTTTGGCAAATATCTGTTATTGGACCAGGAGAAAGGGGCTCATAATGAAGGAATTTAAGGAGGATATAAATGTTTTTATAGGTGGAGTGTTTCTGTTGTCAGCTCTGCTGCTGTGGGAGTTTAATCTTCAGACCGTCTCTAATGTGTCCCGTTGATGGACCTATTGTTTGATGCTGTCCTCTGCTCCTCCCAGTGAGATTCTTCTTCTTCTCCTCTCCTGTGTGTGGATCAGACAGCATGACTCGTCCTTCAGCTGTGAGCCGCAGAAAGGCCAAAGCCCCCGTCCATCGGCCCCCGCTGCCGACCCCCGGCGCTTCCACATCCACTCGAAAATCCCCTAGGAAAAGTGGAGCCCCACCTGAAGCGTCAAGTAAGAGCCTGATCCAGATGTTCTCTCTTGGAGACGTGAAAACTTTGATCACTTTCACAACTTCCAGAGGACAGACTGCTCCTCATTTTTACAGTTTTTACTTGGAATTGTCTGTTTTATACTTATTTGCTCTGATGAGGAGTTTAAATTAAAAACCACATAAAGACATACTGTTATTAATAAATGATGCAATATTCAGTCGTCGTTGTCTCACGCTTTATCCGGAACCGGGTCGCGGGGGCAGCAGATTAAGCAGAGACTCCCAGACTTCCCTCTCCGCTGACATTTCCTCCAGCTCTGTTGGGGGAAGCCCTAGACGCTCCCAGGCCAGCCCAGAGACATAGTCTCTCCAGCACGCCACCTTTTTTCGGTCGAGAACTATGGCCTTGTACTTGGAAGAGCTGATTCTCATCCCGGCCGCTTCACACTCGGCTGCAAACCACCCCAGCGCACGCTGTAGGTCTTGGCAGGAGGGAGCCAGCAGAACCATGTCATCCGCAAAAAGCAGGGACAAGATCCGCTGTTCCCCAAACCAGACCCCCTCCTGTCCTTGGCTGCGCCTAGAAATCCTGTCCATAAAAGTTATGAACAGGATGGGTGACCGAGGGCAGCCCTGTCGAAGTCCAACATGCACCGGGAACAGGTCCGACTTAATGCCGGGAATGCGAACCAGACTCCTGCTCCGCTTGTACAGAGAACGGATGGCCCCTAATAAAGGGCCCCCGACTCCATACTCCTGGGGCACCCCCCACAGGGCAGCACAAGGGTCGAATGCCTTCTCCAAGTCCACAAAACACATGTGGACTGGTTGGGCAAACTCCCATGAACCCTCAAGCACTCTGCAGAGGGTGTAGAGCTGGTCCACCGTTCCACGGCCAGGACGAAAACCACACTGCTCCTCCTGCAGCTGAATTTCGACAATCAGCCGGACTCTCTGAGGCTGAGAAGTGTGATTCCCCGATAGTTGGAACACACCCTCCGGTCTCCCTTCTTGTGGAGGGGAACCACCACCCCAGTCTGCCAATCCAGGGGAACTGTCCCCGACCTCCATGCGATGTTGAAGAGACGTGTCAACCATGACAGCCCGACAACATCCAGAGCTTTAAGATACTCAGGACGGATCTCGTCCACCCCCGAAGCCTTGCCACCGTGGAGTTTTTTGACCACCTCTGTGACTTCGGCCTGGGTGATGAACAAATCCAGCCCCAAGCACCCTGTCTCTTCTTCCCCCACGGAAGGCGTGTTTGTCGGGTTGAGGAGATCCTCAAAGTATCCTTCCACCGCCCGACAATATCCTCCTTCAAGGTCAGCAGCTCCCGACTCCCACTGAAAACAGTGTTAGGGAAGCACTGCTTCCCCACCGGAGGCGCCGGAAGGTTTGCCAGAATCGCTTTGAGTCCAACCAATAGTCTTTTTCCATGGCCTCTCCGAACTCCTTCCACGCCCAAGATTTTGCCTCTGCAACCGCCCGGGCCCAACACGCTTGGCCTCACGGTACCTGCTTGCTTCTTCAGGAGTCCCACAAGCCAGCCAAGCTCGATAGGACTCCTCCTTCAGCTTGACAGCATCCCTTACTATCGGTGTCCACCACCGGGTTCGGGGATTGCCACCACGACAGGCAAACCTTACAGCCACAGCTATGGGCAGCCGCATCGACAATAGAGGCAGAGAACACAGCCCATTTGGACTCCATGTCTCCAACCTCCCTCGGAACCTGAGAGAAGCTCTCCCGGAGGTGGGAGTTGAACACGTCCCTGACCGAGGGTTCCACCAGATGTTCCCAGCAGACCCTCACTACACGTTTGGGCCTGCCGAGTCTTTCAGGCTTCCTCCTCTTACAGCGTATCCAGCTCACCACCAGGTGGTGGTCAGTGGACAGCTCCGCCGCTCTCTTTACCCGAGTGTCCAGGACATGCGGCCGAAGATCAGAAGATACGACTACAAAGTCAGTCATCGACCTTCGGCCTAGGGCAGGGGTGTCAGACTGGTTCCAGAAAGGGCCGTGTGGCTGCAGGTTTTCTTTCCAACCAATCAATAGCACACCAGACTCCATTCATCTCATCAAGTGAGTCCAATCTGAACATAATGACTTGATGAGATGACTGGGGTCTGGTGTGCCATTGCTTGGTTGGAAAGAAAACCTGCAGCCACACGGCCCTTTCTGGAACCAGTTTGACACCCCTGGCCTAGGGTGTCCTGGTGCAAAGTGCACCGATGGACATCCTTATACCTGAACATGGTGTTCATTATGGACAATCCGTGACTTGCACAGAAGTCCAATAATGAGACACCACTCTGGTTCAGAGCTGGGGGCCCGTTCCTCCTGATCACGCCCCTCCAAGTATCACTGTTGTTTCCCACGTGGGCATTGAAGTCTCCCAGTAAAATGATAGAATCCCCGGGAGGGGCGCTTTCTAACACCCTCCCCAGGGATGCTAAGAAGGCCTGCTACTCCGTACTGCTGTTCGGCCCATAGGCCGAAACAACTGTCAGAGTCCTCCCTTCAACCCAAAGGCGAAGTGATGCGACCCTCTCGTCTCCCGGGGTGAACTCCAGCACGAGACGGCTGAGCTGGGGGGGGAGACAAGCAGCCCCACCTCCGCCTCTCCCCGCGGGTCACTCCAGAGTAGAAGAGAGTCCAGCCTCTCTCAAGGAGCTGGGTTCCAGAGCCCTGGCTGTGCGTAGAGGCAAGCCCAACTATTTCTAGCTGGTATCGCTCCACCTCCTGCACAAGCTTGGGCTCCTTCCCCGCCAGTGAGGTGACATTCCACGTCCCCAGAGCCAGTCTAAGTGCCTGCGGATCAGGTCGCCGAGCTCTCCGCCTCTGGCTGCCGCCCAATCCTCTTTGCACCGGTCCCTCATGGTTCCCCCTGCAGGTGGTGGGCCCACTGGGGGATGGCCTCACGTCGCGCCTTCGGGCTGGGCCCAGCCGGGTCCCGGCAATATTCAGTCACACGGATAAATCTCAACATGAAATAAAGCAAAATAAATGAGGGCTGCAGCCCCTAAAGAAAGAAGGTATTAAACCAAAGCTCAATAAAAGCTCTGCAGACATGATTATATTTTATAATTCTATATTTGCGTTTCAGGGCAGTCTTTAGCGTCTCCCAAGAAGAGAAGGTTCCGACCGGGAACCAGGGCCCTGATGGAGATCCGCAAGTACCAGAAGAGCACAGATATGCTCATCCTAAAGGCGCCATTTTCCCGCCTGGTGAGTCGCACCATGGAAACGGCCTCAACAAAGAATATGTTTAGTTAACTGAGTCATAATAGGAGGAGCCGGCTAACCAGTAGCTCATTCCCCCCTACCTGGAGCAGAGTTTCATGACCTCTGTGCGATCTCTCACCCCCCCCACCCACCCCCCACCCCCCCAGGTTCGGGAGGTGTGTCAGGGGTTTGCAGTTGATCTTCGATGGCAGGTGTACGCTCTCATGGCCCTACAGGAGGTAAGCAGAGGAAGTCAGCTGAGGGACACGCTGTCAATTTATCTTCTTTCTAAAATGGAGTTTCTTCTTCATCTGATGCTTATTAGCTTTTTTTTTTGTTTTCTAGAATTTTTTTTTTAATCTGTCGTGGGGAAAAAAAATTATTCAACTATTCACTCCAGTTAAATTAATGTAGATCCATAGTTTTCACTCAGTCGGCACTTTATTTTTATCTTTGCAAAGAGAGAACAGTTCTTCATACGGTCCTTATTGCACAGTAATCAGCCCTGTTCTGAGCAGCATTCATTCCTCCTTACTTACAACAATGGAAAGTAGTCAGAGTCAAAGCAAATGACACTTTGGTTAACAGTAACATGTTATGAATAAACCTGAGAAAGAATCTGGCTTGTTATGGGAAGAAGTATGTCTATAAACACCGTCACTCAGGCATTGTGTGGCCTGATACAATAATAATAGTATCGATACAGCCATCTAAAGTGCAGAATAGTGGAAAATGCACTTTCTGAACTCTGTGTGATTGAATAATTCTGTGCATTTTTCAGTTTCAGACTTTTTTTGTAACAGGTGCAGCTGCTAAGAATTATTTTTGTTTCATTGGTTTGGCTAGTGTCATTGTTATGTCAGCAAAGCATAGCCAAGGAAGGAACACTTTTTAATTTTGTAAGTTTTTTATCAAGCTTGCTTAATATTGTGCACAGCATACAACCTCAAAATATTATTCTTATTGTTTTTTTATTTATTTCTTGTATTGTTTTAGTAATGAAAATATTTCTGTTGAATTTTAGAGTCTTTGTTTTTATTCTTGTGGTATCGAAAAGGGTATCGAGTATGGAATATTTTACTTAGTATCGGTATCGAGTTGAAAAGTTTAGTATGGTGACAACCCTACCTGACACATAGGCGGATCTCTGCAGGCCATATGAACAGCCACACACACACAAAAAAACAGAGCATTAAGTCCTGCAGTGTGAACGCAGCCTTTTATTCCAGTTGGATCCAGTTTAATAATTTCTGCTGGAGGCAATATTTATGCACATGGATCAACGGGTCTGAAGCTGCATTCAGGCGCCGGGGCCGGTGGATCTACACAGTAGGGGAGGCTAGTGGTTAGGGCATAGGGCTTTGAATAATAAAACGGCAGCCAATCAGGGCGAAGCTTTTTCATTTAAAATGGAATCCAATGAAAATAATGTTAACAAAGGTAGAAATAAGGAATGCTCTGCAGTTTGAATTCAGCTCTAGAAGGACTGTTATTCGTCCTCCTTTACCTCCACCTCCTTGTTGGTGATGTTAAGGTTCACCTGTGCTTTTATTGTGAAATGTGCAAAGCAGAGGGTCTGGGCGGCTGGAGATTTACTAAATATTAAACAATCATTCCAGCCATTAAATAAGGTCAACATCCCCTCTGTTCTATTTAGGAATGACAGAACAGAGGCTTATTAATGGTGCCGTCTCTGTTCCCAGGCTGCAGAGGCATTCCTCGTCATGCTGCTGTCCGATGCCTACCTGTGCGCCATCCACGCCAAGAGGGTCACACTGTTCAAGCGGGACATTCAGCTGGCAAGGAGGATCCGAGGGGTCAATGTCCTATAAGACACTGCAGGGAGAAGCCCAGAAGGAGCCGGAATCCCCCACCTGTCCCCCACCTGTTCTGGGCGGGGCCAAGTTTGAACTGTTTGTTCTCTGAATGTTGTCTCTTCATTTCTGCAGAAGTACAGCAGGAAAGTTTCTAGCCTATTTGAATTGTATGTTAAATGTGTCATTAATATGGCTTTGATTATGTACATTTTATTTTTTAATAAAGTAAACTTTCTCTATAATGTGTTTTTATTTTATTTTTTTTTTACTTTTTTTTTTCTTTGCTCTTTGAGAACAGAATAGAAACATGCTTTATCATCTCACAGTGAGGAAGTACAGCAGCTTTGTTCACATCCTCCTCACTGATCTAGTTGTGTTGATCTGAGGTAACTAATGTTTGGTAAAGGCTCGGATCAAAGTTTATAACAACAGAAACCGAAAAAGTAATTAAATACGGCCTCCTACAGAAAAACCAAAGTAAGAGCAGCAAAGTTTTATCTGTGATAAAACAACATGTTGCTCCAATTGAACTGGAATTAAAAGCACAGCTTCCTCACACTGTTCCATCAACATTTTCATGTAGATGTAATTCTACGGTCCCAGATTGGATCTGCACAGAGAGAAAAGCTCCACGTCTGCATCTGTTGGCCTTTCTCATCCTCTAAAATTGATGCTCATGCTGTCCCTCTGTGAAGGAAGCTGGGCTCCCAGCAAATCCCAACATCAAATGAAAAAAAGAAAACCTTTTTAGAAAACTTCAATCAGAAGAGATGCATCGAGAAAACCAAGAACCTCGTCTAATTAGGCGCTTTATTATAAGGAAAGTTTTAAGTCTAGCCTTAAAAGTAGACAGGGTGTCTGCCTCACGGACTAAAACTGGTAGTTGGTTCCACAGGAGAGGAGCCTGATAACTAAAAGATCTGCCTCCCATTCTACTTTTAGAAGTTCTAGGAACCACTAGTAAACCTGCAGATTGAGAGCGAAGTGCTCTGTTAGGAACATAAGGAACAATCAGATCTCTGATATCAGATGGAGCTTGGCCATTTAAGGCTTTATATGTGAGAAGGAGGATTTTAAATTCTATTCTGGATTTAACAGGAAGCCAATGTAGGCAGAGGTAAGCTGGTAATACAGTTAGGGCCAGAAATATTTGGACAGTAACAAAATTTTCGCGAGTTGGGCTCTGCATGCCACCGCATTGGATTTGAAATGAAACCTTTACAACAGAATTCAAGTGCAGATTGTAACGTTTAATTTAAAGGGTTGAACAAAAATATCTGAAAATGTAGGAATTGTACACATTTCTTTACAAACACTCCACATTTTAGGAGCTCAAAAGTAATTGGACAAATGAACATAACCCAAACAAAATATTTTTTTTTCAATATTTTGTTGCGAATCCTTTGGAGGCAATCACTGCCTTAAGTCTGGAACCCATGGACATCACCAAACGCTGGGTTTCCTCCTTAATGCTTTGCCAGGCCTTTACAGCCGCAGTCTTCAGGTCTTGCTTGTTTGTGGGTCTTTCCGTCTGAAGTCTGGATTTGAGCAAGTGAAATGCATGCTCAATTGGGTTAAGATCTGGTGATTGACTTGGCTATTGCAGAATGTTCCACTTTTTTGCACTCATGAACTCCTGGGTATCTTTGGCTGTATGCTTGGGGTCATTGTCCATCTGTACTGTGAAGCGCCGTCCGATCAACTTTGCAGCATTTGGTTGAATCTGGGCTGAAAGTATATCCCGGTACACTTCAGAATTCATCCGGCTACTCTTGTCTGATGTTATGTCATCAATAAATACAAGTGACCCAGTGCCATTGAAAGCCATGCATGCCCATGCCATCACGTTGCCTCCACCATGTTTTACAGAGGATGTGGTGTGCCTTGGATCATGTGCCGTTCCCTTTCTTCTCCAAACTTTTTTCTTCCCATCATTCTGGTACAGGTTGATCTTTGTCTCATCTGTCCATAGAATACTTTTCCAGAACTGGGCTGGCTTCTTGAGGTGTTTTTCGGCAAATTTAACTCTGGCCTGTCTATTTTTGGAATTGATGAATGGTTTGCATCTAGATGTGAACCCTTTGTATTTACTTTCATGGAGTCTTCTCTTTACTGTTGACTTAGAGACGGATACACCTACTTCCCTGAGGGTGTTCTGGACTTCGGTTGATGTTGTGAACGGGTTCTTCTTCACCAAAGAGAGTATGCGGCGATCATCCACCGCCGTTGTCTAACGTGGACGCCCAGGCCTTTTTGAGTTCCCAAGCTCACCAGTGAATTCCTTTTTTCTCAGAATGTACCCGACTGTTGATTTTGCTACTCCAAGCATGTCTGCTATCTCTCTGATGGATTTGTTCTTTTTTTTCAGCCTCAGGATGTTCTGCTTCACCTCAATTGAGAGTTCCTTTGACCGCATGTTGTCTGGTCACAGCAACAGCTTCCAAATGCAAAACCACACTCCTGGAATCAACCCCAGACCTTTTAACTACTTAATTGATTACAGGTTAACGAGGGAGACGCCTTCTGAGTTAATTGCAGCCCTTAGAGTCCATTGTCCAATTACTTTTGGTCCCTTGAAAAAGAGGAAGCTATGCATTACAGAGCTATGATTCCTAAACCCTGTCTCCGATTTGGATGTGGAAACTCTCATATTGCAGCTGGGAGTGTGCACTTTCAGCCCATATTATATTTATAATTGTATTTCTGAACATGTTTTTGTAAACAGCTAAAATAACAAGACTTGTGTCACTGTCCAAATATTTCTGGCCCTAACTGTAAATCTGAACCTGAAGGTTGGGTATCATCAGCATAACAGTGGAAATTAATCCCATGCTGTCTAATAACTTTACCGATTGGGAGCATGTATAAAGTAAAGAGAATTGGTCCTGATCCCTGTGGTACTCCACAGGTAACCCTTGAGCATGAGGAAGATTTGTCATTAATGTGAACTCATTAATTTGTCATTAACGTGTCATTGGGGGCCATGTTGGGACTATATTAGGACCGTTATTGGGGGCCATGTTAGGGGTGTGATTGCAGGCCATGTTGGGGGCCGTGTTAGGGGTGTCATTGGGGGCCATGTTGGGACTATATTAGGACCGTTATTGGGGGCCATGTTAGGGGTGTGATTGCAGGCCATGTTGGGGGCCGTGTTAGGGGTGTTATTGGGGGACATGTTAGGGGTGTCATTGGGGGCCATGTTGGGACTATATTAGGACCGTTATTGGGGGCCATGTTAGGGGTGTGATTGCAGGCCATGTTGGGGGCCGTGTTAGGGGTGTTATTGGGGGACATGTTAGGGGTGTCATTGGGGGCCATGTTGGGACTATATTAGGGGTGATAATTGGGGCCATGTTAGGGGCATCATTGGGGGACATGTTAGGGGTGTCATTGGGGGCCATGTTGGGAATATATTAGGGGCGTTATTGGGGGCCATGTTAGGGGTGTCATTGGGGGCCATGTTGGGACTATATTAGGACCGTTATTGGGGGCCATGTTAGGGGTGTGATTGCAGGCCATGTTGGGGGCCGTGTTAGGGGCATTATCGGGGGCCGTGTTAGGGGTGTCATTGGGGGCCATGTTGGGACTATATTAGGACCGTTATTGGGGGCCATGTCAGGGGTGTGATTGCAGGCCATGTTGGGGGCCATGTTAGGGGTGTTATTGGGGGACATGTTAGGGGTGTCATTGGGGGCCATGTTGGGACTATATTAGGACCGTTATTGGGGGCCATGTTAGGGGTGTGATTGCAGGCCATGTTGGGGGCCGTGTTAGGGGTGTTATTGGGGGACATGTTAGGGGTGTCATTGGGGGCCATGTTGGGACTATATTAGGGGTGATAATTGGGGCCATGTTAGAGGCATCATTGGGGGACATGTTAGGGGTGTCATTGGGGGCCATGTTGGGACTATATTAGGGGCGTTATTGGGGGCCATGTTAGGGGTGTCATTGGGGGCCATGTTGGGACTATATTAGGGGCATTATTGGGGGCCATGTTAGGAGTGTCATTGGGGGCCATGTTGGGACTATATTAGGGGCATTGTTGGGCGCCATGTTGGGACTATGTAAGGGGCGTTATTGGGTGCCATGTTAGGGATGTCATTGGAGGCCATGTTGGGATCTCATTATTATCTTTTGGCAAGATGGCGCCGGTGTGTGTGGCTGCTCGTCTGTCATTCTTACGTTTGCTGTTGTATATACTATTTTTGACCTTTGTCATCGACGAAACTGAGTCTCTGCTGGTGTATGATCGCAACACACTACTAGACCTCCAATCTTTGGTCCAGGATAAGGAGTTATTCGTTGTTGCGGGCCGACAATCTTTGCCCCCGCTTCTGGCGGAGATTCCGAGCCACTTGTTCCGGGTTCCTGTGCTGCTCTCTCGAAGGAAACGTCGTCGTCGTCGCGGTAGATGAAGCGGCCGGCTGGTGAAGCTGAAGTTTTACTTGACACACTGTTATGCTTTTACTCGATCATCGCAAGGATCGTTCCTGGGCTCCCGGGTGACTCGGCGTTTCTTGGATCCTGTTGATGCCTGCTTGGTGCCAGTGGTTGGCGTTGAAGTCCCTCTACACCGCCGCCCCTGCCTTTCTCGGCTCAACATACGCCGACGGTGTCACCAAAACCTGAGACCGCTGATCCGGGTTTTCCGACCTGTCGAAGCCCAGGATCAAGTTCCTGTTAGGATTGGCCTGGTAAACGCCAGGTCGCTTGTGAATAAAAATTTTATTCTTCGGGATTTTTTTAGTCACCAAAATCTGGATTTTCTGTGTGTGACTGAGACATGGCTGAGTGTTGGTGAGTAACCTGGTATAGGCTGTATCAGGCCCTACACATGAACATGGACACACACTGGACCTGGTCATTTCCTGCGGTCTGCCTGCGACAAACCTTGAAATCTGTGACGCTGTGTTTTCGGATCACCTGCCTGTTTTATTCACTATTACTTTGACACCTACCGCAGTTAAAACTCGCGCTGCTGCTCGGCGCTGTCGGATTATTAACCCCTCCACTGCCATTCATTTCTCTACTGCTTTTCTTCAACTCTGTGAATCATCTGACTTCCTCCACTTCGATACAGAAGAGCTCTGGTCCTGGTTCTATTCTTCCTGTCAAACCATCCTGGACTCGGTTGCTCCATTAAAAACCAGGCACCCCAGGATTAAACCTGAGCCTTGGTTTAATGACAGAACTGGTGCTGCAAGGAAGGAATGTCGTCGTGTTGAACGCAGGTGAAAAAAGG